TCCACCTTTATTCTTTTCTTTACAATAAGGCTTTCAAATAAGTCATGGCTGTACGGCAGTGAAGCATCGGTGTTGAGCACTGATGTCATGCTGTCGTTGATGATGATGATGATGATTAGCCATTCAAGGGGAATTCAAAGTGTCTCTTTGGTTCGGTGAAGGTCAACATCAGTGAATGTTCGTTATTGTCAGCAGACCTCGTCGGATTCAGTCATGTTGCTAAGCTTAGTGAGTATACATTCACGGTAAGATTATAGGATGACTTCCAGTTTATCTTCCTATGTTGATGGTTCTCTATAGTACTATTTACTCGATCTCTCTATCAGTCACTCTGCCATTTCGTTAGTGCTTCTGTATAATGCCGTTCTACATCATTTACCTAATCGGAATTACAGCGTTCACTTATTTTGAACTTGGTAGGTTTTCAGTCCGTTTGGGGCCATGATTACAGATTTGTCCGTGTAGACCGCAATACTTTCTTTTTACTATATTCCATCACCTAGATAAATGGGAACGAACAAACAGAAGATACGAAAGAATATCACACTTACGCGTTGCTTCAAGTTACTGTCAATGAAATTCTGTAGATTCTCAAGGGACAAAGTTATCTCCCCCCAGCTGGACGTATGCGTTTTGAGGAATTTTTGCAATTTTTCTTTTCCCTTTATTATGTCATCGAGCTGCATCCCAAGTAGTTCGTGCTGGAACTAGAGGTCAGTGAATCTGTCACGTCTCTCCACTTGCTGATGAGCTACCTTGTATTGGTTCGACTGTAGTTCGAACTGTATTTCCTCCTCCTTCATAACCTTTTCATAAAATTCCACCTCCTTCTTTGCAATCGTACATTTGCTCTGAATATCAAGTAGCAGATGTCTTGTAGTCACCTCTGACAAGACTGATTGATTTCGCAATTGGTGGATCCAAGTGCTCTCCCCTGGTGTCTTTTGAGCTGTAATCAATAGATAACATTCCATACGTTTGTTACTGAATAACTTACTAGCAGAATCAACACATATAGCATTCCGTCTGATGTAGCCTTCGAACAGTTCGTTCTCCAGGCGTAACAGCTGTAAGGTTTGACTAAAGCAATATTAGTTTCATCGAACAAGCGGAATATTCACGAGGTTACCTCAGTTTTTCCAGTCTATTTTCGTTTCCGGTGGTATGTGAATGTTTCTGTACAACCGAGCTTGCACTCCGTAGACTGCTGTAGACTGACATGGCTTTTATTGCAGTAGGAGTATATTTTTCTTTGTCGATGTTGCTGAAATTGGATATGGAACTGTATAAACCATTTGGAGTATATGGAATTGGACGACAGCGCACCCCGTTACGGACATACCTGGAGTGGAATCCGGGTTCAGAATTATACTACATATAAAATCTGACTTCTTGTGCCCTCCATGCTCGTAGTTATTCTCTACTCAGCGTGTGAATAGAAGTAGCAATTACGCTATCCATACACATGGATCTCCTTTAGAAAACCCAGAAATGATCCCAACCTGGTGGCTAGTTACCATAACACTAAATGAAATTCACGCGATGTAGTTTATCCTATCATCTGAACTAACCGGAGTACCAAACAATGCGACAATGAGAGTGATGAAAGTGAGCATGTCTGTCGCAACCGACAAGAGGACATTATATTAATGGCGATCCATCGAAATAATAAATGCACCGCTTTGTTGACGGGCCCCGGGCAGGCCTAGTGGGTTGGCTGAGACCGATAACAAGGTCGGAAAAAGTAAGCTTATACTAAATGGCATTCATGGATATCAAACTTCGGCCTCACTGTGCAACTGCGTTCTAATTTACTGATGGTGTTGTAAATGCGTTCTTATATTGTTTAATGGGTATGGCTCCAGGGAGAGATGAAGCTAGTTTTTCGAGTTTGTTTGTGCATTGGGATGTGTTAGTCCGGTGAGTTTTTAACACCTCCAAACAAACAGAACACATACACCGTCAGCTGGCTCAATTTACTCACCTACTTAGTTCCCAGCCGGGGAGGACGCTATTGACAATAGTCGTTCTTTGCGGGGTCAGGTGCTGGGCTGTCAGTTGAGAACTCGGATAAACCAATTATATCCATCGAGTGTGAATATGTTTTCACCCTCAGATGTGATAATATGGTTTCGTACAGCATGATGTAGTGGAACATGTATGAACTGCGAGTCCTGCCACAATCGAAGATGACGAATGACACATAGCAAACTTTGAAGCCCTTTTAGTTAGTGTTGTGATTCTTTCGCAGTTGATTATTTTTCTATCGTCGGTATTTGAGTTGGACGCTTTTAAAACAGTTCCTCACGTGGCGTATGAGGTGGTCTATTCCTCAGGCGCCCCTGAGGGTAGCGCGTTCGATCTGTGCTGTTTATCTGATTCATTAATTAAACTGGTGATGATATATAATAACCGCACGTAGGCGTGAATACATTGGCGTCCATGAATAACAGGTGTCGGGAGATGACAAAAATCGCAGTGGTTAATGGCAAACTCAGCTGAAAATTATGGTTCAGTTTCTTGACCTTCTCCTATTTTAGCTTCAATAGTCACAATACAATTCACTGATGCAACCGCATTCATGCCACTTGTGATGAGCCATGAATGGATTCATCTATCTGGTAAATAAAGTCAGCACTGCCTCAAAGGAATACTAGCAGAAGCAGACCGGTGGGTGTTCCTGAACCCAATTAAACACCGTCGACGCCTTAGAGCCCACTTTGTTAACACGGACGCCTACTGCGATCCTGAGACATAGAACATGTAAACTTGCCTTGGATCCGTCACTCACAGATACCATTTTCTACAACCTTATATCAAATTGGTTCGAACCTTTTCCAAGGTCGCATGAATCTTAAAATCCAGTCAGTCACACATAATTCCTTGTGCGTTCAACCGCATCTGATAATTAGTTTACATTCGCGACCTCACATACACCAGATTAGACTGTGGTATATAAAATTAATTTGCAGGCACTCATAAAGCGCTCATCATCTTCAGGATAAAGAAGGCAAGTTAAAATGCACAGCCTGCATAAAACATTTTATTACATATAACGGGGTACATGAAACATATCAGCCTGGTTTGAACGATGTATTCCTTTGGTTTATCACACGCGTTGGATTGAATTCAGCACAGAACACTTCATTGCGTTTGCAGGTCGCTCTCCACGATAGGGGATAGGGAAGGAAATTACTGTACCAATACTATCAACACTACAAACCAACCAAGCCAGACGGTGCGTTCCCTCGATCCCTACTTTGTGTCATTCGCTGCGTGAATCTCATGAGGCAGCTAACAGTGGGTCCTACGAAATGTGATAAACTTAGGAGCAATTGAATGCATTATCGCGTCTGTAACCCTGAAATGTCGGAAAGAGATCATCAAAATTCTTCCCTTGATACTGAAAAATGTTCATTTGACGTAGATCTCAGAAGGAAAATCGTGAATGCTTATTGTTCAGTTAGCGTACAAGTTTGCTTGGTTTTTCGGACTCTGATATTGAAAGGGTAAAGAGTCCTTACCTCGTTTTACCCTATTCAATAACAAATCTGTTTGGGTAGGACAGTAGGAATACAGCTTTTTGTTCAAACATGTCAGCTGATAACGTGAAAAAAACGCTAAGAATTCTTGCCCTGTTGCATAGCTGGTGATTGGTTTGTTCAGTACGGATCAGCACAGATGAAGTCGCTAAGTGAAGTGTTACGGTACGCCTTAAAGAGCATGCGAACATAAATGGGCTTTAATGGGAGACTTAACTGGGTTCAGCTGAATCTTTCTATCATAAACAAGTCAAACGGCTGGGATTCATTTGTATCCGTTAAAACGAAATACGTCCGAAAATGAGTACATTCCACGAATGGCATACAAAGTGAGTTCGAATGGGGCATAAGGCTGACGGGAACTCCATTGGAACAACGCTTACCTAATGAAGGATAAAACACGAGGTGATCCTGCGAATGATCAAAATCGGTAATTGAATACGTCATTTTTTGATACACACCAGGAAGCACAGGCATTCTGAGTACACATAAGCGAGGACATTAACATCCAAAAACATTCCAAAGATCTAGCCCCTGTATCGCATGCTGTCTATCCGGTCCCTCGCAACTGAGTTGAAATTTATCGGTCGCTCTTATTTCTTTCCCTGTGAATAGTGCGTAACCCTCTAGACAGTGTATTGTGTTAACTCGAATATCGCACGAGGTGAAGAGTGGGGCAGAACATTCGGTTGAAGAAGTCCATCATAAAAGAAACATCCAGCTGGATTCATCTGGGCCTCCCATTATAACGAAATTAGTAAGCAAATGAGTGTAGTTGGCAACTTCCGTCTAATTAAGTTTCAGGTAGAACACGAGGTTGATCGGAACTTGGGGATTGCGCCTACCTGATGAGTCTCAAGAAGGATGAAACACGTCTCTGGATGTCGGAGAGTTTTCAGCAACCTTATTGTGTTATGTATATACAAGGAACGGAAATCCCGGAAAGAATAGCATACTCGTGGCTCCTAATTTACACGCAACTTGACAGCTTGTCGTCTAAATAAATGACATGGCTGCCATCACATTATGCTTAGTGTAAGTATATGCGTAGTTGACCCTCATGTCCCTTGTTTATTTGAGTGTCCTTCCTCCTGCCTCCTTTACGTTTCATTGAGCCCATTCACAACACTGAAAATCACTGGTATTCGGCTTCACCTTTTCCTATACTACTTACGCTGTTGGGAGCTCAAAACTGCCCACTGGCGAGCCCTGTCACAAGCCACTGTCTTCCCTTGCAGGAATAAGATCATACTCATTCACAGCACTGAAAATCACTGGTATTTGGCTTCACCTTTTCCTATACTACTCACGCTGTTGGGAGCTCAAAATTGCCCACTGGCGAGCCCTGTCACAAGTCGTTGTCTTCCCTTGCAGGAATAAGATCATACTGGGCTTCTTGTTTCATCAGCCATGAACCTCAGATCAATGTTCTAAATAAAAAAGCGTCAAGTGAAATAACCTCGTGAATCTCGGAAGCAGAGATCGCTTTATCCTTAGGCTGGCGTAACCAATCGTCTCCCTTACCAAAACACGTGAGTGAGCCAAGAATAATCTGATACCAGCATTTAACACATAGTTTTGTATGTGACCGTTTGTGATTCCCAATATGTACACTTTGGGATAAACCTGACCTACTGCTTCACAGGTCAACTTTACTGCGGTACATTATGTTGCTGCGTTCACATTCTTTTTCGCCGCTGATGATTTCCAGTCAACCAAACGTTCAACAGCGAGGTTCCTTATTACGCGCGCGCGCCTTCTCATCCGTATTCTGCGTGCATTCATGCGGCACAGCGCTGGAGTGGTGATCAGCAACAATGCAAGTGCTTCGATGATTTCAAAAAGAGTCACTCCGGACAAACCCAGGTAAAGTCCAAATGTTCCGCCAATGGATGCAATAAGGTTGAAAATGTTCGCCTGCTCACCTTCACTGATAACGCGGACTCGTGCTGCGTTGGCATAGATTGTTATTGCCACCAGATCACTTTTTTTTGTAATATTGGAAAATCCGGTGAGTGATGGAGGGAGATCAGTCGGAATTTCATGTCGTTGTATTATATCGGCTTCACTGACGACTTCTTCACAATACCTGCCGCACAACCAGTAGCGTTGTATTTCGTCGGTCAGTCTGATCACCAGGGCTACTTTCCAGGATTTTGGAAAGTTTAGGCTCAGTATCTGTGAAGTGAGATTTTCGTGATCAAAGACATTCAGGTGAAAACTGGATGACATGAAGGAAGATCGACGATGGAAGACAAATCTTCTACCGGTCAGCAACAAAGCAGAAATAAATACTGATTAGACACTCAATGATGACAGCTTTTCACGTTTTCTCTCAATGAAACAGCATGTATAAGTGACCTTTGAGACATGGCCAGCAGCCAGTGTGGTGGCTCAGTGCAGAGATTAAAGCCTTTGTCTTGAGCAAGGAAGTCCTGGATATTAATTGTTTGGTACCGCGACCTTTGGAATTTAAAACAGAGTTGGTGAAGCGTAAACCTCGAGCTCGATTGCCTGAAGTATCTTGGCTCATGACTCGTGAGACTAAATGTATCGACCATAGGTTGTGGATTTGAGTTTTCAGACATCTGATGAGCTACGGAAGCTCCGCAAAGTGTTTCTAGCAGCTTTAACTGGCTTGATTTGTTGCCGATTTGATGTCGATTTTCGACGTATCATTTGCAAGTGCAAACAACTCTCCGTTTTTCCCACACCTATTTTGTATGGAATGACGTGCTTGGTCAGACGGACGTAACACCATAGATACGCCCTCAAATATAGCTCTGCAGTTATGGAGAAAATTAAGCGATCAATCTTGTGCTATACTTGAAACAGCATACCAATGCTACAAATGCATATTAGCACTGTTTCAAAAGAGGACGAAATAGCTAAGTTCAAGCGCCTCCGTGCTAGTAGGCTGGTTCATTCCTAAGTTTACACATGTCTCATGTGCAGTTATGTTTTCCTACTCAAACCTTCGTCCATTTTTACGCGTTACAAAAAGCGTCAATATGGTACAACCTAAAACCAGAAAAAGTATGGGCGTCACAGACTGACCTCGTCACCGGTCATAGAGGCCACACTATCATGACAAGCAACGCGCCTCATGAATAAATCTGATCCGGGTTCGACGCCTGGTGAAGGCGAATGACAGAATCCCAGCTTCAGTAGTTCACTTGCCATTCTCAGTGGAACCATGTAATCTTCGGAAAAGCAGCGGCAAAGACGATACATCACTTTCTGACGATAGTACGCGACGCAATTGCTTTTTGTGTAGCTCAGTTCAAAGTAGCGGCGAGCGAATCCACCAGACATGATGTAACTGGAGAGTTCCAGATAGTTTTCTTTCGGAAATCGACGTTTGCATGGGCGGTAGACTGAAGTGAGCCGTTTATGGACCTGTTAATATAAAATCAGATTATCTTTTAAAGCAAAACATATTAGGGCAAAAATGTGATTTGGGAATTCTAATCATTAATTTACGGTATTTAACAACCTGACATGAGGCGAACTAGTGATGCTGTGCAGTATTGCCGTCTGCTGAAAATGGAGTATAAAATGTGTGAACAATTTTCTGTTGATGTGGATCATAGTTCGGCCCTGATAGGCTCCCGAATGGCACGGTAGATATTCACCTGACCTACTTGGGTCAAAAGAATGTGAAATCTTTTCCGCCGGTGACATAAAAACACAAAATGTCGTGCGAACAGGTGAAGTGCAAGTGATTATCGCAGGACACTCTACATGAAGTGTGTTGACATTTCCTTTCCTCGTCAGTCAGACGCGTTTCTTCCTATGTTAACTTGCGCGACTGACTGTGTCAAAAAGATTCTATTTGAGAGAATATGCAAGCTTTCTGGCGAATAGGACGTCCAGTCGAGCATTGTTTTTAGTCACAGATATGCACGTTGAATAGCAGCTTAGTAGCCGATTTCAGTGGTTTGGGGACGTGAAATGCTGATGATTTTTTATCACAGCCACGAGTAAAAAACATAAAATACAAAAAGGAAAGGTCATCATCATCATTCCTGACGGCAACACCAGATGAGAGCGCGAGTTCTTCATAGCCTCATAGTCGAAAAAGAAGGAAGAGATTGGGCTGTGAGGTGGATTTAGGGCTAGTCCACTACAAAATTCCCAGATGCGTACACCTCCAGTACTCAGTCTAGATAGAAACTAACAGTATGAAAGCCATCGGCACCGATTTAGCCGCCATATCGTACATTGTCTCCAGCCAAGCCCCGGGAAGGTCACGTGGACCCCATCCTGGAAGTTGGACAGCACTAGCGACACCCAAACATTTCGTAACATGCTTCATTCCTTTCAGCCAAGCCAAATTGTGTCCACTTTTAGGTTTTAACCACTTCAAAGTATACACAGAAAACAGTGCTCGTCTCAGCAGGCCGAAAGTCGGTGTGCGTAAAGTGTGGCCTGAATCACTCAGCTCAGCGAACAAACACACATTTTACTCATGCAAAACTGTCCACATTTTGGCAATCGGCAGTCTGCTTTCGGCAGATAACGAACGGAATTACATATTGCGTAGGTAAGCTACTACAGTGTGTAAATTTTGAAGCACTTCCTTAATGAGTATGACATTCTTTCAAATTGAAGCAAAAAATATAGGGCCTTATAATAAAAATTGCGCATCTTTAGCAATACCCCTGCCAATTTATGCTGGTTTGGAACTTCTTGCAGTGAACACGGAAGCACATTCCAAAGCAGTGTGTCTCTTAAAAATGGCCACCCATAATGATCAATTGAATTAAACCCTCAAGAAAGATCAAAGCGATTTGGCCGATTCGAGGGTTGACCGAACATATCATTTATTTTTTCATTTGCTTATTTATTTATCCAGGTGACCATTTATTTATTCATTCGTTTATTGGTTAGTTAGCTGCTTGCCATTCTAAGAGGACAAGGCTGCTGCGACTGTCGTGAGATGTTTTTAAGAAGCCGCGACTGACGTGCACAATGCCGTTGAAATCTTCATTCGTTTAGACTCCGGGCTAATTTCGGTCCAGCTATTAGCAGATGAATTATCGACCTAAAACACACTCTGTGAATACGATTTCATTTAAGGAGCTGAATGTACTGGGGGAAAGACGATAGCCACTACCTGTTCAATCATTTGATGAATAGGTAAGGCATATGGCATCTTCCACGATATTCCGACTATGAGGTGAAACTCAGCGGCCCAGCGTCTCTGGCCACCACTACAGCTACAGATCAGTAGTGTCTCGCATGCTGTCTGATATGAGGCAGCTGTTACTCATTCGGACGACCCCATCTCTGACCACGTATCAGATGTGTTGATCCGATTTGGAATGTTCTATGTGAGAGATGCCACTTCAAAATGAAGCAGTTACCGAAACAGCATGCGCACAGATTAGTAGGTTACTCTTTTTTCATATCAACCACTCACATTGGATGAATCGCAGATTATCTTCAGTATTTTCCTGATCATGGGAAAATTAGTTCGCATCATGCAAACCTTCCATAAACATCATTAAGAAGTCATAGGTCCACTTTGTTCCTCATAACCATCATTCGCTAGCTAATTTTGTAGTTCACTGGAAACTGTGGAGCTGCACGAAAATTGTCGGTCAGCAGATTATCGTATTTTCCTGATCATGGGAAAATTAGTTCGCATCATGCAAACCTTCCATAAACATCATTAAGAAGTCATAGGTCCACTTTGTTCCTCATAACCATCATTCGCTAGCTAATTTTGTAGTTCACTGGAAACTGTGGAGCTGCACGAAAATTGTCGGTCAGATAGGAGATATAATATGAATACATTTCGGGCATAAAGTTGTTAATTCATTGATCGCCTGGTTGACTTACGTGTGCATGGGCGGATTCTAGCTGGAACACTAACAACGCGGATATTTATTGATCAAGCTCCATGAAAGTGAACGTTTGTGGGACGGCTCTTAGCACTGTCGTAAGCATCGAAATCCGAAAAGATCACAATCCTCTTTAGTTCGAACTAGGAGCAATTAAATACATGGATACCAAGAGAAGTAAAAGCGAACTAATTTCTGAAAGGTCCTCACTTGCCCATGAACCGAACATTCTCGTAGGCCATACTTGCACATTCCAACAAGACGACTTGATCTTCTCATTATTACCACCAACATTATCAGGTGTATAAACCGCTTAATTGTCACGTAGTGGTTATAGCTGCCACAGTTTCGTTCACCGATGATTCGGGGGATGGGGTAGATAGCTACGCATTGTTGGCGGTAGCCGATACCCATAGCCAAAAGCTGGAAACCAACACCTTTCGAATATCCGCTCCGGCAGCGCTTTTTAATGTAGAACGGTTTCATCGACGGTGAAAAAATTCTGAAAATCGTATCCTGCCAGCACGCGGACGATAGTTTTCGACAATATCAACTGGCACTGACTGCCTTTCGTCACATATGTTGTCAGGAAACATACGTCAAATTTCCATTGTTTGAAAAGAGTAACAGGATATCTCTAGTACCAATGGCGAAGCCATCCCTAGGAAGTTCTGAATTACTGTTTTCAAGGCTCCAGCTAGCTTCAAGGTCTTCTCACTCACGATATTCTTATTGATTTGGAATTATCCGTTTTCTTCTCTCCGATGTATAAGGCCCCCCAACTTTGATCTGACATGGTTGTCATATCTTAGCGGTTGCCTTAACCGATAAAATTTGAATGTTGGCTGTTGCCCACGCCATGGTGTCATTTTCTGGTGACATTCTTTACCGCCGTATTGGAAGTATCACGGTTGCTTGTGTCACTTTAGCCTGCGCAAGCGCCATAAAAGTTCGCAACTTTACTTTCAATGTTAACTTCCTATTCTTGCTGAAAGAAAGCATCGATCAAACTAGCCAAACCCACAGATCACATGGTTCTAAATTATGCATTATAAACAATTTGATATACCAGTGGCCACCATACTAAAAAACGTCATCACCATCAGCTGTAAAAACCGCATAATTTTCGCAAGATGGTTCTAGCTACCATTATTTCGTTGGTGGGGTAGATAGCTGCGGTAGCCGATACAACTAATGCGTAGAAAAGGGTTGTCAGTGGACTTTTCACTGACAGGGAGGGGACAATGCTTCGAAGACAATCGCTTGGATGCGCGAACGCCATTGAGGGCGCGACTGGGTCAGCGTCTGCCAATAGCTGTAACAATGTATGTGTCCCGTCTCGTGGTCCCCACCCAGGGAGACGGCAATGAACAGCACAGTTGAGTTTACCAGGAATTACTTTCATAATTCTGTGCCAACGTATGTCGTTATCTAACAAACCGGCATAGATTGTTAGTAGATTGATTGCCATTCACTGAATTACCGCATGATAACCTCAAAAATCGCTGGCAACCTGTCTTCTAGGTGTTCTTACGAACCTGATCAAAAATACAACTGTACCCTGATATATAGATCAAGTAGCGAGTGATGTCAGTTTTTAACGGTTCCAAACAGCTCAGCCACACTGCAAACCTATTTTGTATTGCGATGTGTTTTTGGCAAGAACAAGCAAGAAAGCTACTAGTCGTGACCGAAACATTATGGAGAAAAAATCCAAGCTGTCTACGGCTCGAACGCCAAGCTGGATCATCCCAATAGCGGCCGTCGGGGTGAGAGCACCATGCGCTGTTTCGGAGGTACAGTTTTCAACATCTTCAGTCAAGCACAGGAAGCTTAACATGAATCATTTTGATAGTAGCCTCAATACGTTCCACAGCATTCTTCACTCCATTTCCTGAGAACAATCGTTACCTACTTCTAAGTCTTCACTGGTTCAGAGTTGGTAAGGAAATCGATGCTTTTATTGATAGACGACAATTCCGTGGCTGTAGATGACCGCGCCGCCACCGTTCCTAGCAGTGAATATGATGCTTGGATCAAACTTGTTATGACTAGGGATACTTTGTGCTGGGGTGTATATCACGGGCTAACAACTAACCAAAGGAGCTCTACTACCGGGGAAACAGCCTAGCTTGTATTTTCGTAAGCTGCTCAAGATTGGCCTGACGGTTAACCAGTAGTCCCCATTATGTCGGGGCTACAGGCTTTTTTCAGCTACTCGGAGTAGTCATTGGTACGGCAAATATGCAACTATGCAGTGGTGATCCGGACTGGTAGCCATAAAACACAGGCATATTTGAACTTCATCAAACGTATCTGTCAGCCTTTTTTACCTAGGGTTCATAAGCTGTCTGTTTGGTAATAAAAAAGGTGGGATAGATGAGATGGCGTCTGGAGAGAGGTGATGTAACACAAGTTATCGTCTACAACTGATGTTTTCTGACACTGCGAATAACATAATGCTTTAGATATATACGTACTCTGCGCTGCTACATGGAACCGACATGCATACATAGTTTTTGTTTCTTGTATTTTAAGAAATGACAGTGAGTAATAGTGAAATCGAGTACAAAAGACCTAGAGTTCTGCATTCAGCCCTTTTCCTACCTATCTAATAGGCTTTCAGTCTGGAACAGCTGGTGACGTAATGATACTTCACTATAGTTGAAAAGTGCTTGAGAAATCAGGAGCGACTTGATCATTAGGTGAACTGCCTAGGTTCTACGTTTGAATAGTATATCCATTTAAAAACCGCAACAGCGTTGGGCAGAGCAAACAAATGAAAAAAATGTGTATCCCGAACTTACAAACTGATTTAGGCTGACACTAATTGACTGCCCGTAGCGCACGCCGAACCGTGCAGCAGATCGACTACTGCTTGTCTTGTAGATGTCGTCAGTAGAAAAGGAGCCATCTTCTTCGTTTTTGGCCGCTCGGCTAATCAGTATGTGAAATCCATCCGCAGCTACCGCCTGTCGGGCATCACGTCTGCTTGCTTGTGACTGAGGCTGTCTCAAGAAGAGCCGGTCATCCCAGGACTGAAAGCAAATGTCCTTTTGTTTACTGTGGCCGGACATAAACCACATACAAATGACTGAACATGGACTGGCATATTCATCATTCCAACTACTCCCAGGGCCATATGAATTCGGCACTGATTAGAGGAAACACTGCACTATTCTTATAACCCACTGCACTTTCCCAGTTACTCTGGACCTTTCGTTATATGTTTGCTTTATGTATGCTTTGTGTGATGTGGCTTATAGGCCGACCGTCCTAGATAAGCACCGGAATAAGAAATTATGTGATCGCACAACTGATATCTAAGAAATTCCATTACAGTCCGTTTCGTGTCAGGTTCCTCAGCTAAAATCAGCTAGTTCTAACTGTGTATACTGAGAAAAATCCTCAAGAAATTGAAAAAAAACTGACTGACGAATTCTTAAGGCTGTGCAAGCACTGTCAGTGAACGAGAAATCAGACTGAAGAAGCATGAGTGTACTCCAAAGATTGCTCAGCGAAGTTCATTGTATAGTTTTGAAATAGCTGTTTCATCTAGCAGACTGGTCCAACTTTAGCCTAACACTATCGTCATTTCCTTTCTTATTGTAGCCTTAACAATAAAATGGGTAATTTCACATCTCACACACTTTCACCGATTTTGAAACCCGAAGTCCAATCTAGCAGGTTTTGAGATCCAACAGGTGCAGGATGCATTAAAACAGGTTATACGCTCCATCCAACACAAAACACTTCCTTTATTGCAAGTGTATGGCCCGTCTCACGCTCATTCCTTAAAGCCCCCCTGACGAAATGGCAGCCGATCGTCGTCATTCAATTGTAGGCTAAATATTCGCTCGTCACTCTACGGAAAGCCAATTTATCGCTTGCTCGTTTTATCAACTAATTTGTCACGAGTCACTTTGATCGCCAGCCGATTTGTCATCAAACGAAATGATCTTGATGAGGTTTATACTCTATCACCCACCACCTAACTTCATTCAGACACATTCCAAATGGGGCTTCTTCTCTTCATCTTATTAGTTCTTGGGAAATTAAGAGCAGCGATGGTCCTGATATGTTCATCTCTTTCTTTACTCTCTTTCTTTACCAACTTTCGACCAACACAGAAAAGCACATTCGTTGTATTTCCCAACGTCTGCCCTCCCACTAATTTGTTGGTTTTTCGAATGCACGACTGTTATTTTGTTGCTAAGTGCATCTGTGTGTTATCCATGCATTTAGGGACATCAGCTAGAATCCAAGTCAGGTCGGATTTTTGGTGCTTTGAACAAAAACTTGTGCTAATAAGGAAGACAGATGGAAGGACACGGATGTGTAACGACAGGACAAACTCATAGACCACTAATGCGCTATCAAGAGCAGAATTCAGCAGTCTTCAGTGCTATTTGGTGTACGTCTTCGTGAGAATGCCTCTAGAAGGTTAGCTAGGAATGGTTTTCAAAGGAGAATCTGGGGCTATTTGTCGGTGGACATCTATTCCTTAAGCAGAGTACACTTTTGAGAGTTGTTGGAGGTATGGACAGTATTACAATCCTGAATGTTGGACATGGATACTTGCCAAAGACAGTGTACTGGACTCCTTCCAACCCACACTCTGGTTCACAGACTAACTTCTTGTTTGTATCATGGCACCAGCACTGACCATATGAAAGCTCAGCAATGTCCGAGAAGACTATGATATCGTACTTGACTTTCTCAGCTGAGCATTTGATGCCATGTTTGGCTGTTTTTCTACCGCCAACAGACTGGTGATACGTGTTGCTTGAGTGCAAGCACACTCCGTGGGCATTCCAACGCTAGTGCAATCACGAGGCACTTGTATGCGTAATAAGTTGGTCTGGTGATGACATTTCTCCGGAGATAAACTAGCCTCGGCATAAAGTGAACTGGCGATGAACTGGCAATGATGAATTGGTGAAACACCGGTGATTTAGACCATTATTCATTACAGTGTATGGCGGATTTACAAAGACAATCAACATTGTACCAAAAAAGCAAAAGCCACACAAGCAAGGCGATTGAGTGTAAAGAATACTTAGATGAGACTTATCGCCAATTCATGGACTGAAAAAGTGAGTTTTATATTATTACTGATTTTCTATTCAATAAGCTCGGTCGGAAAATATATTTCTAGTGAATTGTGTTTTGACTGATACAAATAATTCCAGATTGAGCGTGACTTATTCGATATTGATATAGTGATTCATAATTCAGGAATCAGGTGAGATTTATTAAAAGTGGGGATGATACTGTGTTACCGTCATTCAATGTCACACGTCAAGGCAGTCTTTTCGTCTTCTGTTCGGGTGTGGGTAAGTGGAATACCGTTATGTTCAACATCAGAATGAGACTTTGTCTTAAATATTTCTACTCCACTTGCTCGCACCTCGATATTTGTAATCTTAATGACTCAGAGCGTTTTGGTAGGTTTCAGGTGTCAGAGAATGCACTCTCAACTAACCACCCTTCCATTAAGTGAGTGCATCTCAAACAGATGTTCCACAGCATGATTAAACAGTTTTCAGTTTTCTTAGAGCCTTCTGGTATTTTACAGTGATCTCCTCAATCACATTCGAACCTTTCAGAAAAAAACTCGTGGAATATTAGAAACTTCTCCAAATATCATCATCATCATCATCCAGCATGACATCAGTGTTCAACACCGATGCTTCACTGCCGTACAACCATGACTTATTTGAAAGCCTTATTGTAAAGAAAAGAAAAGAGGTGGATGGGGGAGGGACTTAGTGCTAGCTTAACACGATCATTCCGAGGTGCCTACACCTCCAGACATTCACTTAGGCAATCTATATAGAAACTGACAACAAGATCGCCACTGGCATCGGTTGGCAGTGTCTCCAACCAGTCACAGTGGGGATCACGCTGTTCCCATCTTGGAAGGCGAGTAGTACCGACAGCACCCAAGAATTTCGTGGTCTCTTTCATACTCCCGTGCCAAGTCATGGGTTGGCCGGTTAATTTGTAAATTACTCTAAACGAGTACGAAACATATATACTGTGCTCTGTTCACCTGATATTCTGCAGACAACACTCGATATGACAAAGAGATCATGGGGTCATAACTGAGGATGACTCAAGCCAGACTAGCCATAAAACTTTTTCGGGAGACAATTTTTCTAATTAAGAATTCGCCTAGTTCACTAATAGAAGTGGTTGTCGGCTACATCAGTAGAGGAGGGATAAAGATGTGCTGAAAATGTTTTTTTTTTCAGTTAAAAGGTGCACAGTTGAATCTTTTACACAGTGCAATAATTGGTGTACTGATTTAGAGGTACGAGAATTGTTTTAGAATTTGGAATCCTATTCGGATGCCCATTTTCCATATTTTTTAGTCACCGAACTTTGCGTACTAGTCACAATATACTGTATACTGGTCCTACTGGAATTACGAACAAAGGCAGACTTCAAAAAGCAAGCTGAAAACAGTAAAAATGAAATTCAACGATTATTCTGTTACCTGCAAAACGGGTGGACGTGTCTCAACGCTTAACAAGGCTGGTTGTGTTTTACTGGCATCGTATGGTCTTCTAAGCACCAGATGCAGTCCGCGCGCCGAGCCCGGTTCTTTGATTGTAGACCTTTTGAGCCGAAGCTGTCATGAGAGGTTCCATGGATAGAACAAACGAACAGTAGCCATTCATTTTAGTCGGAATGTATGGAGACATTACAGCGAATAATTTGAATATTATCTGTCAGGTGTTATTTACAGACTTACCTGGTAAGCTTCGTTCTGTTTCTCTCAGGAATAGTGCGAATTTGCACAACGTTTCCTTCGCTATGCCAGAGTATTCCGTTTTTTGGAAGAGTTGCACTAAGCAGGTATGAATTGCTAACGAGAACTGTTAGAGCTCGATTATTTACTGTCACTCCCAGAGGGCACTTTTATTGCGTAAGGACCATTTCACAATATTCTGATTTAGGTAGCCGTATTTGGGTTACTCTCACTCGAACCATCTTCGTCCTGCCGTAGCGTAATTATCCTGGTTAGTTCACAAAATGGACAGCACTTACTGGAGTCGAGTTTAGTTCTTATTGAGGCTCATCAACAGTGCCCATTTTTGGTTGTGATAGGAGTTGAACACTGGAAATCTGGCATGCGAGGTGAGCATGTTACCAGTTATTTAGGTTAGTCTGGTACTTTCTTTCTTTGCTGTAGGCTAATTTATGCACCAGCAAGCATTGCTAGGTTAGTCTGGGTCCTGTCACACACTCCAACGTAAAAACAAAATAAAAAGTTCGGGTGTAACAGCCCTTCGGTGACTAGCTGCCATGCCGCCCAAAGGAAGTACGAGGGCTGGGATACCCAAGGTTTCCCAAGCCTAGACAGGGGAAGTCGAGAGACGGAGATCGGGTTCGAATCATGGACCTTCCGGTCGGTCGCGCTCTAACCACTGATCCACCTCGCCCCAAATTATATGGCCTGGAGCACTACCTATAATTCAAAATTGAAACTTAACAGAAACATCAACGATCGCATCACCACTAAGAAGCAGCTACGGCCATACCAACACTGAGCGAAAGATGAGCTTCTGTGCTACGGATTCGAAAGAGAGATGAGAGATGCAGAATGGGTGAATTTGTAAAGGAGGATAGTGTCGAAAGTCTAACGCAGATACCGGTAAAACAGCTAACGACGTATGAATATACCGTACCGTGGCACTGATCTGGATGCCAACGGTGCAAACTGAGTAGAGCCCAAGGGACTGGGTAAGGTATAATGAAACAACCGAGTAGTAAGTGGACAGATTTAACAGCACAGTTGGTCTCTCAATTCTCGTGGATATTCACGGTGATGTATAGGGCTTGTCTGGTGCGTTTGATATGAAACCGAATGTCATTTCCGCAGCTTAGCACTGATTTCCATTGGGACGCAGATTTAGCATGGAATTATTTCAAATAGATTTCAAATGTGGACCCGATATTTACTTTCTGATGACATCAGTCAGCTACAACTTTTAGTTAGATCAGACCTATCACTTTCGTCAAGACCACCATCCAGGTTCACTGCCGTATAAACTCAAAGAACTCGCGACATTGATTTAATTGCGATAGCTTAGTAGCCGCTTTCGTCAGAATTCCATCCAGAGAAGCCAGATGCACCACCACTCACCAGCATCATCACCACTGACAGCAATACAGCAGCATTACGGACTAGTGCTTAACTGTCATATAGTCACGAGGGAAGAAGACCTTAGTAAAAGATGCAAGTTAGGGATAGGTACGTCGGGCTAAATGCCTTTATGTCCCCAGGGAAAGCAACCAAAAATAACGTGTCTAAATAAACACAGATCTGAAAATCGCTTTGGATTAAGACACAATTAACCCAGAGTTTTTCGCGAACCTCAACCAACGTTAGCTCAGTGCACAAGAACAGATATACCTTAGCTTGGCAGTCCTGCTAAGAAACAACAGCGTGCCCGTCACTTGGCTCGGTTGAATACAATGTCCTGTAAGGTTTCCAACCAGGTGCAGGCAGGATCCCTTGGGTCAAAGCGAAAACGATCAAGCGAAGCTCCCACAACACTCAGTTTGACTGTAGCTGTTTTTATTTCACGCTGCCATGCCATGGTTTGTCTCCAGTGAACCTTTCGAGAACAGTCCCTTTGAACGGACAGCGCTTTTCTGACTAAACATACGTAACACATGCGCCAGCCACGTCAGCCTGTTAATTTTTATCTTCTGCTATAACGATTCAGATTCGTTGCCGAGTCGTCGCCTGCTCACCAGTGCTTTGCGTACTCGCTGAATCCAGTTAGCTGTTGCTACGGCAACTGCGGTCTCAAGGCCATAGAATTGCAAGGTCCAAATCTCTTACAGTTGGGGTTCGAGATGGCTGAGCGGCAAAGGGAAGATCCATGGTTCGAACCGGACTTCTGCATCTCTAGTGCTCTTGTATAAGATTGGGCAATCTGACATTATCTCAGCCCTCATTCTTCCTTTGGGTGACATCCGGGAACCGAAAGTGCGCTGTAGTCTTGTATCCAGGGCCCTTTAGTTCCCGTAAAAATAGGTTCTGATGCCATAAATGATACAAGCTGGTCTGTTGCGCTAGCACCCTGATTATTCACGCAGTCAACCATTCCATTTTGGAATTTTGAAGGAACGTAAGATGATGGAGACCTTCGAAAAAAGGAAGTTTCACTTTGAGACGATAAACACACCAACAAATGGGATCATTTCCTATATCCTGTGTAAAGTACTTGGGGCGGACAAACAACCCTCAAACAACTAGACGATCCTATCCGCATTATCCAACAGTCAACCATTCCATTTTGGAATTTTGAAGGAACGTAAGATGATGGAGACCTTCGAAAAAAGGAAGTTTCACTTTGAGACGATAAACACACCAACAAATGGGATCATTTCCTATATCCTGTGTAAAGTACTTGGGGCGGACCGGACAAACACAAACAACTAGACGATCCTATCCGCATTATCCAAGTCCATTGATCTCTCTCCAGACATGATTTCTTGAAATGTTTACTCAATTGAACAAAAAAAGGAGAGAGGAAATAACCCTGACGAACTCCACAATTTGTCAGAAGGCTTCTGAACAATTCATTGTATACTTCAACCCAACCGGGGTATGAGAATGAAGGACGCGAAAAGTGTTTACGAAATTCAAAGACGTCCTCCTACGGTTAGGAATATCTAAGAGGATTAATCTTTCAACACCATCTGTCACCACCATTATCACCGCGTTAAGACTTAACATTCCACCAAGGCGTGCTTCCAATCTTATATGTGCATTGAAATCTCCTGCCATATATATATATATATATATATATATATATATATATCCGCTAGCTAGTAAGGATGTCGAGAGCACAATAGAATCTTGTGTCCGAGTTTCGGGATTGCAACAGATGTCAGTCAACAACAGCAGCTTGTTGGTCGACCTATCTAAGAGTTCTTGGGATAAAGGCTGCAACAAGAAAATGAGAACTAGGCCTGAGCAGTGAGCACAGAGCGGTGGATGTGTGCTTCGGTGTAAGTGCCAATTACATGTGTCTGTAGGTGGGATCTACATAAGAGAATTTGCAAAATGAGAGAGGTGGGGAGTTAACAGATAACGATGAAGAAAGATAAGAAGGGTCAGAACTCGCACTATTTCGCTCATCTGTCTGCTGTGTGTAGTAAATAAAGCGACCCGGATGGTACCATGACGTGACGACCGACGAAACATGAATGTACTTGTATCGACAAAGTTTACGGCTGTATGTGGGCGAAGGGATTACCGTGGCATCAAAACATAGACAGAAGGACGATTTGGGTACTCAAACAAAGTATTTGGATCAAAGGTCCGACCACGAAGCAACGATGGTTGGCCCAAGACCACTCGAGTAGCCCACACACACAATGCATGGGTATCTCGACCATCTAGTGATATAAATATCGATTACGTACTTGAAAGCAGTAGTATTTTGATGGATGATCAAGAATGACGACCTTCCCTTTGGGCCAGGGTTCTGTTTTTTCCAACATTTTAAGTGGATCAGGCATTTCTCTGGACCAACCAGAGGGTAGATTTGATTCCACGTTCGACACCCTACTCACCAAACGAGGATACTCATATTTTGACTCCCAGTGGCGTTCTTCTTGGATTGGCATGACTGCTGTCGGAGCTTCCACAGCATGCTCATCGAGTTCACAAGTTCTCCCATCATATTCACAGCTGACCAAAATATCATTCCAAGTCCACGACAGACGACTGCGATTAGTATAGAAAAATCCCCGAAAGGAACGTTTTACTCGTTGCCGCCAATAGCCTTCCGGCAGTGCCCAGTTGGTATCGCGATCGCCCGAACGAGCTATCCAGAAGTCCGCAGAACCTAGGTATCTGAAAGAAAACGACATTCAGAAGAAAGAGGAAAATAAAGTTCTCGTTTAAACTACAACACAAAACCATGATTTTTTACCAGTGATCAGTGACCCTGATTGATTCGGTTGTGTCATGCAGCCAATGATAGGTTCGCATCACTGCTTCACTGCGTAGCTCCCACTCACAATGGATAAATAGACCTATTCATGACCAGTGCACAGAGTGAGCCATCGTCCTAAAACCCTTAGCCTTCTCATCACCCGCGAAAGAAGCTGTAGCAGCTGCAACCACCGCAATTCAGTGCATTGAACTAGTTGCTGTCTGTTGGATATGACATGTAATCATCGGCATTCCGGTAAAACGCACACACCAAACGCCGCACGTTGCATGCCTCTTAAAAATCTGAGCCGTTTGCACTGTCGTCCGGCCATCCTCTCCACACATTTCGTTTGCTCAGAGTTGCCTACGCGTACGCATCTGCCTGTCGCTCGGCTCAATTTATTCAGGCAATCCAGAATACAATGCACATCGGCACGTCTTAGAAAGTGACACTGACCCGAGTTGGATCAATTGTTGGC